AGTGCCATATTTTTATTAATGCTAGCAACTGTCGAAAGAAGCTTATCTGCAAAAGATGTAATGAAAAATGGGAAAAGCAATCATCTCAAACAGTTCCAGCTTGCTGCCCTTTTGGCTTTCCTAGGTGCTACAATAGCAGGCTGTTTTCACCTTTTCCATAGAGGGGAATATTCTGCATCACCCCTTTGCTTGCCATTTCCTACAGGAGAAACACCATCATTAGGATTCACTGTAACCTTAGTACTGTTAAACTCACTAGCATTTTTATTAATGGCCATTATGTACACTAAGCTGTACTGCAACTTGGAAAAAGAGGACCTCTCAGAAAACTCAGAATCTAGCATGATTAAGCATGTCGCTTGGCTAATCTTCACCAATTGCATCTTTTTCTGCCCTGTTGCATTTTTCTCATTTGCACCATTGATCACTGCAATCTCTATCAGCCCTGAAATAATGAAGTCTGTTACTCTGATATTTTTTCCATTGCCTGCTTGCCTGAATCCAGTCCTGTATGTTTTCTTCAACCCAAAGTTTAAAGAAGACTGGAAGTTACTGAAGCGACGTGTTACCAAGAAAAGTGGATCAGTTTCAGTTTCCATCAGTAGCCAAGGTGGTTGTCTGGAACAGGATTTCTACTACGATTGTGGCATGTACTCACACTTGCAGGGAAACCTGACTATTTGTGACTGCTGCGAATCGTTTCTTTTAACAAAGCCAGTATCATGCAAACATTTGATAAAATCACACAGCTGTCCAGCATTGGCAGTGGCTTCTTGCCAAAGACCTGAGGGTTATTGGTCTGACTGTGGCACACAGTCAGCCCACTCTGATTATGCAGATGAAGAAGATTCCTTTGTCTCAGACAGTTCTGACCAGGTACAGGCCTGTGGACGAGCCTGCTTCTACCAGAGTCGAGGATTCCCTTTGGTGCGCTATGCTTACAATCTACCAAGAGTTAAAGACTGAACTCCTGTGTATGTAACCGTTTCCTCTATCAACCAAAATCAGTGTTTATAGAGTGAACCCTATTCTAATCTTTCATCTGGGAAGCACTTCTGTAATCACTGCCTGGTGTCACTTAGAAGAAGGAGAAGGTGGCAATTTATTTCTCAAATCAGTCATTTTCAAAGGACAGGTGCCTAAATTATAAATTGGTGAAAAATGCAATGTCCAAGCAATGTATGGTCTGTTTGAAACAAATGTATGACTTGAAAAGGATCGGAGGTGTAGTATAGCAATATAATGTTAGGTTTTTCTGATCCATAAAAAGCAAATTTATACCTATTTATGAATTAAGCACAAGATAAAGAACAGCTGTTAATATTTTTAAAAAATATATTTTAAAATGTGATTTTCTATAACTGAAGAAAAAATCTTGCTAATTTTACCTAATGTTTCATCATTAATCTTAGGACAACTTACTGCAGGCCCAAAAAAGGGACTGTCCCAGCTAGAACTGTGAGAATATACATAGGCATTACCTTACTATGTTTTCAGTTGCCATCTTAACATAGGAGAATCATAAATTTTGCTTTGTTGATTTATAAATCTAAAACCTGAAGATGTTTTTAAAACAATATTAACAGCTGTTAGGTTAAAAAAAGTAGCTGGACATTTGTTTTCAGTCATTATACATTGCTTTGGTTCAATCAGTAATTTTTTCTTCAGTGTTTTGTGATTATACTACTAGAAAAAAAGTAAAAGGCTAATTGCTGTGTGAGTTTAATAGATTTGGCTAAACTACTAACTAATGTGGGGGTTTAATAGTATCTGAGGGATTTGGTGGCTCCATGTAATGTTTTCATTAATAAACACTTCCTAATATCATTGGCTCTACTGATATTTTCCAGTTTGTTGGTTTGTCACCTAGTAATAATTTGGATTATATAGAAAGTAAACTGTGGTCAATACTTGCATTTAATTGGAAGAAATGGGGAGTAAGTATGACACAAAGTACTTATGTTTGTTTCTTATTGAGCTGGATTCTCTTGAACCTATGCTATTAAATGGAAACTTCCATATATCTTCCCCATACTATTTTTTTTACAAAAAGCCTATTCAGTAGTTCAGAGGTTGAACTCTGGTTAAACAAGATAATATGTTATTAATAAAAATATAAGAAGAAGGAATTAAAGCTTAGTCCTGTGTCTTTAAAAATTAAAAATTTTACTTGATTCTCATGTATGGTCTTTAGACCTATTACTGTGTGGAGTCTTAAGGTTATAATTGTTCAATATGTTTTTTGAACAATGTGCTAAATCAATAGCAAACCCACTGCCATATTAGTTATTCTGAATATACTAAAAAACATTCAGCTAGATTGCAGTTTAATAATTAAACTGTACATACTGTGCATATAATGAATTTTTATCTTATGTAAATTATTTTTAGAACACAAGTTGGGAAATGTGGCTTCTGTTCATTTCGTTTAAAGCTACCTCCTAAACTATAGTGGCTGCCAGTAGCAGAATGTTAAATTGTGGTTTATATACTTTTTGCATTGTAAATAGTCTTTGTTGTACATTGTCAGTGTAATAAAAACAGAATCTTTGTATATCAAAATCATGTAGTTTGTATAAAATGTGGGAAGGATTTATTTACAGTGTGTTGTAATTTTGTAAGGCCAACTATTTACGAGTTTTAAAAATTGCTATCATATTTGTATATTTACACATCTGATAAATATTAAATCATAACATGGTAAGAAACTCCTAATTAAAAGGTTTTTTTCCCAAAATTCAAATTATTGAAAATTTTTCATTTTATTCATTTTAAAACTAGAATAACAGATACATAAAATGTGTTAATCTTTGTGCTATATATGGTATGAAATACAATATTGTACTCAGTGTTTTGAAATATTAAAGTTTCTAGAAAGCAATCTATTTTGCCTTAATTTAAAAGCAGGTATATTAATGAATTTAGTTTTAACGTAAGCAAATTAAATATTTTTAAGTGGACAGTATTAGAAGAAATGTTGAAAGTAACCACTAGAAAACACTATTTTGATATTTGTTTATAAATATATAAGAACATTTTGCTGAAATTTATAAATAAGGTTTTATCCTGAGTCTGAACCATACTTGTGGAAAACAGATTGTGAAATTTCAGAAAAACCATTGATTCAATCTCTATCTAAAAAGCAAATTATTAAAAAATCTGGATTATATTAAATGCAGGTAATTGCCCAGATGCTTAGAAATACTTCAGTATGCACAATCATTAATCCTCATTTTACAGATGAAAAAACAAAAGGTTTAATGAAATTTAAGTGAATTCCTGAGTCACAGCAAATTAGAACTCAAACCAGAACCCAATGCCTCTTCATTCTAGACATAATTTTGTGTGTCTGTTTGTACTAAACTTTACATATGCTTGAAATTTCCATAACAAAAGTAGAATAGTATAATTATCCCACCTCCCTACCCTTCATCCCATACCTATCGCTGCTTTGACAATTATCTGCAGCAGGTAGTGAACCTTGTTTCATCTTCGTCGCATTCACTAACCTCTTCCAATCCCTCCACCCCTTGAATTATTTTGAAGCATATTCAAGACATCATATTGTTTCATCTGTAAATACTAATGTCTAGGGATAAATTTTTAAAGTTGCATAATATATTGCCATAGGGCTAACGGGTGATGGAATTATTTAAGGAAAAATTACTCTTATACAAGTTTCCAGAGCCAGTGAAACATAACTATCTCAAATATTCCATGAAAGTCAAAGTATTAACTGTATGAAAATATGTCACTCAGTCAATATCCTAAAACTTTAGGGGAGAGACACTCTTTTATACATTTGTACATTTAATATAATTCTACCCATCTTTATTATGACTCCTCAGCTCCAGTAATGAAAAGGCACTGTAAGAAATGAGACCACTGGACTCAATTATGTTCAAACACCAGCATCAGCACCATCTGATTCTGCCTCACAGCCTTGGGGGTCCAGCATTGCTAGTGCATAATGTCACAGTTGGTCATAATGATGACCCTGGCGCATCAAGAAAAGGGTATATTTTGTTTAGGAAAACATTTTAAGGTGACAAAGAAGTATATGACATTTAGATTCCCATACAAAGAGGTTAAAGTGTAAAGTTCTGGAGTTTACACACAATTTTTCATTGTATCTGTCAGATCCTGAGCTTAGAAACTTTGAGAATTAATGAGATAATACGACCCTATGAAGTAATTTTTTCCCCCATTTTCAGAGGAGTAAGTTAGGATTGGAAAACCTATCAAGCACCAGGAAGACCACTGATTCCAGGTCCCTTTCATACTAGTGTTTTCCCACTACAGTTATGTCTGGTTATGTATATGGGAAAATAGCTTCTCAAGCATGTTTATGTTTGAGAAGACCAGGGCCTTTCAATGTTATTGATTCTAGAGATGTTCCAATAAAAGGTTTTAACCAGATATGGCAATATTGAATAACTAGGGTTGAGAACGAAAACTCCATTAGGTCAATTTTATTCCTAGGTCAATTTTATTCCTTGATCAATTTTATTACTCAGTTGGAGTGCTCCAATTTTCTTTCATTTTCATTTTGTTTTCACCGAAATTTTAAACAAAATATTCCATTTAAATAGATTTAACCATGTCATATTTTATTACTTATAGATCTGCCTTCTAAATTGTCTTTGGTTGCTATTACTTCTACCAGAGCTAGCTCTCTTGTATTAAATTTTGCAGATCTAGATTTCATCAAAGGTTTTTGTATCACTCTGGTTACTAAAAAATTTTGTGTGTATGTTAGCCATGGTTAATTTTCATTTATGGCATTTCTACCAGTAATATACATTATGAACTGGGAAAAAGCCCTATTTATTTACAAATGTACACAGTTTTGTCAGCATGAATAAAGCATCGACCTCTCCCTTACTACCTTTATCCCCATTCCAGAGAGGAGAGTGCCCCTAAGATCCCACATAAAATGCATATCACCATATTTACTCAGATGATTTTTTCACCACAAAAGGATGAGGAACTTAAGGACAAGACTTTTAATCATCTATCCCTAGTGCTTTACGCAGACCTTAGCATACGCTAGAGGCTTCAAAGAGGCCAAAAATTCACATGTAGAGACAAATTAGGTCCCTTAGGATGCCAGGCAAACGCAGTGCTACCAAAACACTCAAAGACTGCCCTAACAGTGAGTTCTGGGGTACACCGGTAAACTTGGATCAAGTTCGCTCCCCTCTCCTCAAAATATATCTGCTGTGCTGAAAGAAATCACGACCGATGCTCATAATTCTGACCCTGTTATTATATAGGGTGTAGTTTTGGCTTCTGCTTCTTTTTTCCCTTATTCAGTGACAAGTAACATACTTTATGTAGCCAATGAACCACAACACCACGGCAAACAAGGGACAGGCCCTCAAAGTTGTCGGTAGGGAGCCAGGACCCCGCCAGTGGCGTGGGGAGGCACCGTGCTAAACAAGCCTGCAAACAGCAGGCACCTTCCTGCCACTGAGGAGGAAGGCTGGCCAAGGGAGGCCGGAGCGGAGGAAGCCAAGCTCTGCAGGCCCAAACAAAGCCCTCTCGGCCTCCACGCGTCGCCATGGCAACGCAGGGTATGTGGCGGCCGGGATTGGCCGGGCCGGCGCGCGCAGGGCCTGCTGGGAGAGCGCGTCCCCGCCGCGGCTCCGCCAGTTTAAACTTGGCGGGCCAGATGTGGGCCGCGGGGCGCTGGGGGCCTACTTCTCGCCCTTCCTCCAGCGGTTTCTCTGCTGACTGCAGACCCAGGTCTCGGCCCTCCTCGGGCTCCTTCGCCGTCTCTATGACGGGCGCCCGTGGGCAGGGGCTGGAAGTGGTGCGCTCGCCATCGCCGCCGCTGAGCAGCAGCAATTCCACCAGGTCGCTGTTGTCTCCCCTTGGCCACCAGAGCTTCCTATTTGACGAGGACGACGGTGACGGGGAGGATGAGGAAGACGTGGATGAAGATGTCCTTGATTCAGAAGCCAAAGTGGCGAGCCTGAGAGGAATGGAGTTACAGGGGTGCGCCAGGTAAACCCGAGGCCTCCCGGCCTATTCAGTCCTTTTCAAGATTCCTTAGACTCTCTTAAGCACTCCCTTCTGACACCCTTCTGCCCTCCGCCCCAAAGGCAGAGCAGGCACCTGCAAACTGAGGTGCCGTGTTTTTTTGCACATAAAGAGCCCTGGGCAAATTCTTGCAAATGAGGACAGATTTCTTGTGGCTCTTAATCCTTTTTTTCCTAAGATATGATTGCTGCAGTTTCACTTCCCAGGAAAACGCACATAGTCTCAAACACACAAAACTTTGGTACTATTTCAGGAGTTTTATGAATCTTCAAAAGCCAGATTGTGGATTCCAGAATTCTTTTCCCAAATCTGAACATCAGGATGTGGTTTACTGCACCTTAATATAGTACCTGTGGTTATTCTGAAAACATCTACTGATTGTTAGTGAAGTAGGTTATAGTAAACAGGTCACTTTTTATAACATAAAGTGCCGAGGCACAGAGGTTAGCAATATTAACCTCAGCATGTGGAGACATGGTTGGATAGGATCTGAGCACGCACTTACAGAGGAATGGATGCCATTGTGTCGAAGAATGTTAGGACCAAGGGGGTTATTAAAACTATCTTAATTTGTTTATGTCTACTGTTATTCACTCAGCAAACATTGTGTACCACATATTAGTCTAGGTACTGGGGACCATAAACTAGATACTGGTCTCTACTCTAGTGGAATTGAAGCCTAAATCAATCCACTTATTTTACAGACAATAAAACCATGGCTCAGAATACAAATAAAAAGTGACTCAAAGGCATGCACCTAGTTATTAGCAGACCTGGGCCTACTACAAAGATATATGATCATGTTTTCTTTCCTAAACTGCATGCCTAGTATTGGGAATATAGAAATAGGAGCAAAGGGCCTATCCCTGCAGGAACATTTCTGAGGCAGGCCTAGTAATGCAGGCCCATTCTGGTATACATTCATTACATTTTCTTCAGAAATCATTTACAAGTTTCTGATTGTCAAGCTGTGTAAGGCACAGTACAGGAACTCTAAGAAACACAGGCAGAAGAACCCAGGCCTTGTGTGTAAATAGCAAGATACCCCCTTCAGTACAGGGTGTTCATATACAGCATGAGTGAATGGAATCTGGAACCATGTGAATTAACTCATATGCATGGTTACAGGAGTGAATGAGTTAAGGATGAGAGGTAAAAGTAAGTACATTGGTGGGAATAGAGATCAGAAAGTGTAACCAAGCAAGCCACTCATTCGGGCTGGTTGTAGCAAGAAGAAACAGGCCTATTCTGATCAACCTTCTAGTAGAATTTAATGGTAGAGTTAGGGTTTCAGTAATCTGTTTTCATTTAGGACTTTGTAGGTGTTTTCAGGACTGAGTTGGTCTCAAAGGTATTTAAGGTAAATTTGAAGGCTTTGGGAAATATTTTCTGAGCATAATCAACTGGACTAAGTATTCTGGACACAAGTTAGTGACCTGTGGAATAAATGACCCTCAGAACTACACCTCAGCTATTGAAACCTTGCATTAGTTTCCAAGAGCCAAAGCCCTGACTAAATGGAGCCTGCCAGGGGAGGAGGCAGACATATCTATGTCTCACTTATCCAAAGCCAGAATGAGCTGGTTGCACCACAGGGTTAAGGCTGCCTTCCTTATTACATTTCAGTCCCTCTGAATCAAAAGTAGCTGGGACATGGGTTTGAAAAGAGAATGCTGAAGTTGTCAAGTGTGTGTGGCAAGTGTCAGATGCTTATTAGTTGCTCGGTAAATGTGTGCTGACTGCATGCCCAGTTCCCACTTCCTAAAGAACAGATACATGCAGTGATGATTGCCTAATGCATCATAAACTTAGTACTTCCTTTCAGGAAAGGTAGATTTTTAGAAAACTTCCTTATTCCTTCTCCCTACTATGCTGACCTATATTTAGTGCCCTGGGCAGCTTGGGGGTGACAGGATGAAGAGAGCAGGCAACCTGAGTCATAGCCCCATCATTGTTCTGGGCTACAAGTATCCTCTGTGGAGCAGAGAGCAACCTAGAGCTGTGGGATTTTATGCCTTTTCTCCATCCCTCACCTGCCACAGTGATCTGACTGGCAAAACGAATAGGGTAAGGCTTCTTTGAGCTAGACTCAGGCATCAACTGAACATGATGGATATTACCTCAAGGTATTTTTGGTATAAATAGAGCCATTCGGCCGGGCACGGTGGCTCACACCTGTAATCCCAGCACTTTGGGAGGCCAAGGCAGGTGGATCATGAGGTCGAGATCGAGATCATCCTGGCCAACATGATGAAACCCTGTCTCTACTAAAAATACAAAAATTAGCTAGGTGTGATGGCACACACCTATAGTCCCAACTACTCGGGAGGGTGAGGCAGAAGAATCGCTTGAACCTGGGAGGTGGAGGTTGCAGTGAGCCGAGATTGTGCCACTGCATTCCAGCCTGGAGACAGAGCAAGACTGCATCTCAAAAAAAAAAAAAAAAAAAAAAAAAAAAAAAAGAAAAAAAAAA